GACGCTTGGCGTCCACCAGCACACTGGAATGCAGACCGACAGGTTTTGAACCGCGATAAAGTATAGTAACGACGTGTGCCTCAATCTAGGTACTCGTGTGCAGGTTGGTACATTGCTGTGCTATCACGTGATCAAATTCCATTTAAAATATAACAATAAATAGGCTATTAATTCTATCCATAATATTATATAGTAAAATTATCTGCTATTAAACAGAACAGAACAGTTTTGATTTTACATGCGCTTAATTTAGAGCAAAGGACAAATTATTTACTGTAGGTTCGGATATTTTCCGTTGGAGAGTTCCGCATATAGCGCCATCTTTGAAATTTCAAACGCGCCAAATATGATTTTATAAGTAAGAACTATAGAACTTTATCGTAAAAAAAAAACGTATTGTTATGATAGACGTAAATAATTTGAGAGTTTAAATATAGAAATATATATTAATATATTGTATTCAAAGTAACATTAATTAACAACAATTGATCTTTGCTTTTTTTTACACTTTCACGATCAATAACTTCGTTCATGATTACATATGTGTGTACATATATATATATATGTATATATATAGACACATACACAAATTATATATATATATACATATATACACATACATACATATACACACACGCACGTACGCACGCACACACACACACACACATATGCAAATATATATATATGTATATAATATGTATAAATTATATATATACATATATGTGTATACATATGTAGTTAGATACATGCCGTAACATGTCTCGAAAAGGATTCAAAATTAAATAATCAATTCTGCTCACATTTGATTTTTTTCACATTCTTTTCATTAATAAAGTTCTATTTTGGTTACAATCTAAAATATTAAATATTTTACTCAATTATGTAAGCAAGGTCAAAAACTTAACAAACATTTTACAATGTATATCATTTAAAATGAGTAATAATTATATTAATATTAATAATAATAATAATATAATTAATTAATTAATTAATAATAATAAGAAGAATAATATTACATATTACGCCAACAAAATTCGTACAATATACAACTTGTAGATTTACATATAAATAAACATCTGTTCCTCAAAATAAATGATTTCTGCGTTTGGCACGATGTCATGTAATGGAAGCAAATTAAACACCATGTTACACATTTTGATTGTCCGAGGCTAGTTGCAATGCAATGAAATATGATTTGCTTCTTACAGTTGTGGTTTCTTTCTTCTTTTTTTTTGGTGTTCTAGTTGTCGATGGTGTTATTTATATCAGCCGGTCCCATTTAAGAAGCAATAACAATTTAATGTTACATTAAATAATAATTTGTATGTATCTGAGGATTACGCGGGAGAAATGACGTCTTTATCGCAATATACGCTATAATAATACTTCATAAAAAATACTCTATAAGTTAATTATCTTGTACAATTAGTGTTTTACAATTTTTATACTTATTTCTCTCTATATAAATACGCAATGTAACATTGACTTATAGATGAAGGTCTTTTTGTATGGACCGGCTGACTAACGAGTATTTTGCCCAATATCAGGATTTACTGGTATATATTGCTTTATGTTGCACTTGCTAATCGATTACTCTAATTTGTAACAGATCGATTAGCTATGTTACTATTAATATAAAAGGTATCCCACCCCCTAATTGATTAGATTAGAATAAACTACGTGGAAGAACAGATCTTCAGTCATAGCAAACAAAAGCTAGACTAAAAATTTCAACAAATAGTGAAAACTGTGATATTAGTTTCAGTATATATAATATAATATCTATAATATATTGCTAATTTAAAGATGCCAGTTTCCCTATTTCGATCAGAACATTTAGGTGTCAGCAAGAATGCCAATTAATAATATCTGAAAAGTGCTGGAACACTTCATCTCTCTTTCTTTTTTCTTTCTCTCTCTCTCCCGCCTTCTCTTTCTCTTTAAACAATAAAACTTATAAAGCTCTAAAACTTCTGTTTCGCCAAAATATAATTAACAACAACAACAACAAGATGTGTTCACTTTTGCAATAATATCACAGACAATAGAAAACGTAAAGTCTACAAAAAACTGGTCTTGCTCGTGCGTATACAAATTTCGAAAAAAAGTGTCCGCTACTGAACACGTGCTTATTTGCTTGTTGCTTCTAAAGCATATGTATATATTTATATTATAAATACATGTGTGCTAAATAGAATAGTTTTACATTTACATGAAATGTATATATTTCTCTCAAAAACTGAAGTTTCTTTAATTACATATAAACATGGCATTCTTCCTTGCACCCTTTATCTTGGATCTTTTCCCTTTGTAGCTGACTAGCTACAATCACATAGAACATTTTGGCAGCGCGCCTATTTATGTTTTCCCTTTTCAAGGTTATCGTTTGTTTAACACTTTAATCATATTAAATTAATTAGTCATCTGTTTTTTACATTAATAATATCTAACAGTTTCGTACGATTGACACAATTTTTTCAAGTACAATAACTTTACTGATTGAAATCATTAGCATCACGCCATCGACTTTGAAAATAGCTAAATAATAAATGTTATAGAATAAATGATATATTCTTAATAAGTTAAACTAAATTGCACCTTCTTAAGAAGTGATAATGCATTCCGCGTCTGAGATGTATCTGAGCCAGCAGTAACATATATCACAAGTAACAACTGATCGTTAATCGTAACTGTGACGCATAAATATCATTATCAACCTAAGTAATTCATATTACATCTTTTTCACATAGTATAATCGTAAGACTAGAAACGTCTTCGATCTAAAAATTTCGTCACTTTTAAATTGGTAACCAAGTTTTTCTACGAACATATTCACTCACATGTATGCGCTATTTAAAACCAAAATTATACGTTTCCTTCCTTCTTTGTTTAACAAAGGCATTACGTCATATGGCATATAAACACAAAATTACTCAGGCTGCGCTACCATGTTGTGTTTGTAGTGTCTCGCAAGATACAATTAGTAAATGATTTAAGCTAATGAACTGTATTTCTTTTTTTTTTTTTTAGCAATTATTAGGAAGAGCTTTTATCACGCGGGCTGTGCCCTGTAAAAATATACGTTCTCTCTATATAGAACTATAATATTAATGTATACAAGACCAGTTCATTATTCAATATTCTTTTACCTCCATATACTTCTTCATTATTTATCAGGTATTCACAAAGTTTCTTAATATTATAGATATATCTGTTTTTTTTATTTTCATTTTTTATAAAAATAGGGTGACACTCTTGCCTTATACCTTTATACAATTCTTTCAACCAATATTTATCAATTCGACGCGATATATATTGATGTTTTAACAAAATTCTTTGAAACTGGTCTGTGCATACATTATAGGATCTACATATGTACAGCTCTGTTCAAAATCATCTCAAAAGCCACGAAGAGAGTAGAAAAAGGCATGAAATGATAATATTCTTCATTTCAAATCCATATTCAGTGTACCTTGACATTTTTTAAGAGTTCTTTTTGTTATATAGTTTTTCACGGCACACATTTTGCACAAATACAGCTGCGTACATGACCAGATGTATTTTGAGTGTAAATGAATGAACATATGAATATGAACGTGTGTGTGTGTATGCGACGCGCGCGCGCATGTGTGTGTGTGTGTGTGTGTGTGTGTGTGTGTGTGTAATCTTTTTTTAAATATATTATCAATTTCTCTATCGAATAGATATCAATCATATTTCTATACATATCTACAAAAAACCTAATATAGAACTCTATTATCATTAATTAAACTCTCTATGAATTAATATGTATAATTGTCACAACAGGTCTAAAAAGTTTATCGTTATTTTAGTTTAGTACGCGATAGTGTTTTTTCTTCATTGACGTTCCATGAACCGTTTATAGTTGTATGTTTTAACAACATTTTGAGAAAGTAATTCTTTTCTCCTTTTTACACTATTTTTCTATTATTGCTTGTTGCTTAGTGCTACTGAATTCATTTTGGCATATAGCGAGTTCTAAACCCTGAGCGACCGCCAATTTTTTCTTTCCTTTTACTCCTTCCGTCTGTCATTACTTTTTTGTTTTAAATAGAAATGCACCTGATAGCTTCTTTCTTTAATGCGACAGGACACATTGTGTTCTTCTCACTCTTACATCTTATATGTCTAACAATGGTAATAACTTCGATGCAAATCTTAAAATTAATAATATTAATCTTACTCGAAAGACAACAGATCCATTGTCAATGGTGCAAGATTTAAGTCCATTGTCTCGAAACCCATACCGAGGATAAAATTTTGAAAAGTTTGTATTCGAATATAGAAAAGAAAAATAGGAAGTTTGCGTTGCTATATATATACATACAACCAAAATATTTTTATACAATTTGTTTTAAATACCGCTTTCCTTCACTCCACTTTGGCCAATGCTTACGTCTTTTCTCAGGTGTGTTCGAATAATCATTCGATGCTGACCGCTTCTTTAACTTTGACGTACCCTCGGACTTTGGTGTCGAGTTAATACCTTGTAAGTGATGTGTCCTATTGTGATTAAGTGGTGTGGTAACACCCGCTAAATTCAGAAGCGCATCCGCACCTTCGGCTATTTTCCGTTGTTCATCGAAGTCTGGATTTGTTTCCTTCCTTGGATATTTACTTGAAAAATAAATATAGAGAATTTATAATTTAGAATATTGCATTAATATTAATTACGAGTTACTAACATCATTATAATACCCTTACCTTTCTTGCCTTACCGATGCAATACAACTATAAGTATGATCTTCACTAGAGCTCCTAGTAATCACAGGAACCAACACCTCAGATTCTGGTACTTTTCGCTTACGATCTGCAATAGTTTGATAAATTATTGTATGTACTATTTTCTTAACAAATTAATATTTTTTATCTGATACTTTGCCTTTATTGTGATTTAAAATAATAGGTCCATGTTTAAAAGAAAGCATAGCAGCCGCAGCTGCGTCTACATCGCTATCTACTTCAGTGTCTGTGTTGTCGGTAATGTTGCTCGATGCCAGTCTTTTGGAGAGGTATGGGAAAAGGATAGGATCAGGTAGACGCGTGCTAGTATTCTTTTTCTGTGGTTTCTCGGGCGAAGATAAAGTTTGAGCAGTTGGAGGAGGAAAGGGAGCACGAGATAACGCTTGTATCAAGTTCGGACGATATTGAGCGTCTACCATCCACAACGAACCTTTGCCCAAATTCTAGAACAAAAGAAATTTTCCTAAAATTTTACTTCTAGAAAAAAGAAATTACTTTTTTCTATAAACATTATATTATAACACTTACTGGTGCTTTCTCTACTTTACGAAAACACTTATTCAGGCTTAAATTATGTCTAACAGAATTTTTCCACCCAGTTGGAGCATTTCTAAAATATGGAAAGTGATCCAAAATCCAAGCATACACTTCTTTGACTGGTAGAGCTTTTACAGGGCTATCTTCAATAGCCATGAAAATTAAACAAGAAAATGAATATGGTGGTTTACTATTTCTATGTAAATGAGGATCATATGGTATATGAGTTGGGTGTTTGTTGCGATTTGAAACTGGTAGATTATTATTGTTCAAAGAAATCTTCGTCTGATTGTTTTGCAAGTTATTATAATGATTTTTTACCGACTCCTGAAAGATTTGCATTGATTTTTGACCACTTTTATTTGAGTGTTGATAGTTTTGACTGTTACCATATGACGTAGTATTATTTATCTTGCCATTATTATCTGCTGCAATAATTAAAAATAATATAGGTACATAAAAATAATAAATGATAATATTATGATAATTATATTAATATATATGATAATAAAATATATAATAATCACCTGGACTGTAACCATCATCTAAACTTGATACAGAATTAGTATTTTCAGAAAAGTCTGCCATATCATCACAAATGTTGTTATTTAAAATGTTTTCATGTTTCATATCTTTAGAGGGATTTGAAATATCCAAGCCCTTTAATAGATTCTGCTGATGAAGCCAACTTAAAGAAGTTAAATCATCATCCAACTGACTATTCTTTTCAATGGACTTTTCAGACATAGAAAGTTCATCAGTTGAATTTGTTTCAACAAAAGCACTTGTGTTTTCTTTTTCTTTCATCATGTATACTGTCTCTCCAAAATTAAAAACTTGTGTGCTACTTAATCCTATACCAGTTTCCACGTCTGATGCATCTGGTCTATCTGGAGGCATATTGTGTCAAGTCCCTTTTTTGTCACTGTAAAAACAAAGTTACATGATTAAATATTACTAAAAGATCAATTTTTATTCAAACTAATTACTTTGAAAACTATTGTTTATGGCATATTGAAACAATTTCTATGAAAAATTTAACTATTAAATCTTTTTTAATTATTTTTGTTTTGTATAAGTATAAAATTTTTAACAATTACTATAAAATAAATTGTTCACTATCTGTAACCACTTTTTCTTTTTAAGGAGAAAGGATGTTTAATCTGTAAAGCGAGAAGGAATTGATAAGCGTCGATGATTCGACCGGCAACGAAGCAGAAATACTGTTACCAAGCAACAGCTTCCTTATAATTCTAGCAACATATTTGTATACAATTGCTTGAGAAATTACAATTACCCAAAAATCAAATCATTTTAATACGCATCACGAAAGCATATTTTGTCGCTAGTAGAAGAAAAAAATGATAATTATCTTGTAAAAGAATTAATAGTTTATTAAGAAAAAAATAATTGAGATTAAAAGTTGTAATAAAAAGATTCGAGAAACATTGTACATTATTACGACATCTAATGAATAAATATGTATGAAAATACTAGTCACGTGCAACTCCACGAAGCAAAATCCAATAACAAAACTATATACAAACACGTGTATGAAAGCATGAATACGTTTCAAACAAGTTTTGAACAATAGTAATTTATGAATAAAAATGTTAGTAACAATTTAATAGTGATAAACCTTATAGAATGTAGAAACATTTGTTTTAAATAAATATTGGTTCATTTTCTATTTTTGGTATCGTATAGGAATACTATAATTACGGAAGGGATGCGTAGGCAGTAAAATTGAATTTCCGCGCATGTGACGCGCCTGTAGCCTCGAACCCAAAGTACCAACATCGTCATTTGTTTATCCACTAATAAGCGACAAAATGGCCGTACTATTAAGAACACATTGCAATCAAAAATAAACTTTAAAAGAATCGACAAATTTTAAGATGCTTCCTGTATTATTTTCTGCGTTAATTGATAATCTTTCAATTATTTAGTACATGCACCATTTCAAAAAATTTTTTACGACGATAGTATATTTTTAAATCATTTTCGAAAAAATGGCGTCTATTCAGCAACTTTAGTTTCCTAATATGTTTCTTACACTTAGTGACACACGGTTGAGAGTGAGATCATTTTGAAATCATTCCTTAAAACCTGTATTTTTATTATAGGTATAAGTGATACAAACAAAGCATTCACAGAAAATTTATTTGTCGATACGTGGGACGCGATAAACAGATTTTTCACAGACATATAGAAATTATACTCCCACTTGATCAAGACTTTTAAATGGTTTATATTAAGAAAGGTAAAGTAAAGATCAATAAATTGTCAATAAAACAGTAAAGCGTAAAGTGACAGAAAAATTCGAGAACAAGCGAAACATGTCACTGCATTACTTGTTGAATTCAAATATGGAGTTGATAATGATTACGAAACTGGAGCAAACATAAAAATGGCCACGGCATCGCTAGCACACGGTATCAACATCGCATTTTAAAAAAGATTCAATTCTCACACGTTCAGAAATACAATAAAAAAATCATTATGCGTATTAGAAGAATGAGATTTAAGCGCACTGAGAAAGTTCTTTTACCAACCATATTTTATGTATTTTTACATACGCGTCATCTTTTGAGACATTAAATTTTAACAGAAACAATTTTTTTGCACGCAACTTCATGAATTAATAATCACTTTGCATAATGTTGCAAGTACTTTCCGGATTTTCTTAAAATTCCATAACGAAAACTAAATTGGAATATTTAAGAAATGAAACAGCGTTTTGTGTTTTTCTGATTTTTAACTTGGCGTTCGTTTATCGATTTACGTTTAAATCTTCTTATTCACGAATGAACACAAGAAGTTGAATAATACGACGTTTTCCAAAAACTCACGTATAGGAGTAGACAGACGGCAGTCTTCGTAGGTTTTCTAAAGACGGGCATCTCAAGCACACTCTACACAACACCCAGCTGATTGAGACGCCATATTTTGACGTCATCACGTGGTTACTGACCATCTATCGCAACTCGAACATCGATTAATCGTATTTAATTAACCACCCGGGAAAATGTTATTTCCATGAATCGTTTGTTATCATTAACAATGCTATCTATTTCATATTACGAAACTAGGAATAGTAACAAAAATAGTCATTGTATTTAAATCTAGACAATTTATTTTCAATAGAAAGCATTATTTTTTCTAAATCATAAAAAGCTGTAACATACTGGGCACTATGATAAAAAGATAAATGCTTTTTTTGAAATCTATAAACAGTCCAGTAAGCCATGACACTGATAACAATTCGATTTCTTTTGTCACTGATGACATTTCACATTATTACATTATGTTTTCATATATATTGCTACAATATACTGTACCATATATTCTATTACTATAGTATCATAACCGTATTAATTGTTTCGTACAACACATACGGTCTTTTTTAATATTAAATTATCGCTATTCTTCAATAACATATTTTATAAGAAAGACAGATACACTCATGGCACAATTCATAGGAAAAATTGTTTACAATACTGTATTAAAGTATTCATTTTTCTTTTTTGTTCATTTGATGGTAAAGAATTTCGAAGTACCAAAGAAAAATAAATTACGCAAGTGGTATGAATTGTAAGTAACTTGTACAAAATCTAACAAATAATATTTTGTAATTGTTGAGGTATCCATTTCGATAATGTATATTGTGCAGATGAATTAATATTTCAAATAAATTGATACTCAGTTTTTCGTTTAACATTTCTTAGTCAGTCTTTATACACGAGTCACAAACACGAACTGGCTTATCCCAACCCCTATATGGTACAGGTTTACGATGTTGTGAGCAATTTTGACATACTCCGCGTCCACAATCTCTGCAATGATGTAAAGTAAGTGATATGGAAAAGTTTTGGTAACATATGCAACAACTGACAACCTCCGAATCAGGAATCCAATAAGATGGTCGAACTGTGTCCTTAATAAATGCTAAATAAGTAAAAAATGTCAACATTAATACAATCTAAATATGATAACATTTTTTTTATATATACATTTATATACGTATATATATCTTCTTACATTTGGAGTAATTTAAAACAGTACTAACTGCACTAAGAGTAGATACTACTTGTTCCGATACTTTTCTAGCGTTAACGTCTTCCGAAGGTTCAGTAGGTTCATCCTTGTTGTAACAGATATCACAGACTCGTACTAGTGTATGCCAATTTCTAGATGGAACACACATTGTTTTGGACGAACACTGTTCGCAGAAACCTTCACCACATGCTCGGCAATGGTGTTTCGTATCAGTCGGTCCGAATGATATTTTACATTTGTGGCAATGCTTTATCTCATTATTCGGTCTCCAATATGATGGAGCTATCTGATCTGCGACCCATGCCGACAGTACTTTTGCCGGTTGTAATGAAACATTGGTTACAGCTTCAGTAATATACGATACACCATCGATTACTCTTTGTGCTGTATTTTGAGTAGTTACTGAATTATTCACCTAGAAAAGGTAATTTTACTCTTGAAAAATACTATAAACTATATATATATCAAAATGCTAAATACTAGATTGATCTATAAATGGTACTCATTATTTATATACCATATTCCACACGTGTATAATCTTTGTGCAAACAGCGAAATCTGGATTTTTGTTACCATACCAATATTGACGACTTCTATATATTTCTCCACAATGTGGACATTCTATAACGTCTCTCGACCACGCATATTTAACTAAACCATACCAACTATTATCATTCTGAGTTTCAATTCGCTTTGTAACTTGTACTTCATTTCCATCACTATAACATTTTTTACATATATATACTATGTTTTCATACTGATGCTGATATTGGCACCTAATAAAATATTTGTTTTAATACTTTTACATTGAATTACAAATGGTAATTAGATGCAAGACCAACCTGTTATTGTTACTATGAAGTTTACCCTCTAAAAGATGTCCCATGCTGTTATTGCACCTAGATCCACAACTGAGGCATTTAATAGGACAAGTAAAATATTGATCAGGAAACAAAATAGAAAAATTTTGTATCTGTCCTGAAAATTTCTCATTTAATATTTTTAACGTATTATAAACTAAATGTGGCTTTCTGGCAGATCGAACAGTATTATTACATAATTCTTTCTTAATAGCAGTCTGTAAAAGTTCATAATCAGTTGTGGAATTTGTTGTCTGTATACCAACATATTTTATAGAACTAAATGCTTCCATTTCAAGTTTCATTTGAGCAAATCGTGTTCGAAGAAAATCTTCAGCATTTTCTAAACCATCTACCACAGAAAAAACATAATATATTCAGTATAGAATAAGTGTTTTAATTTATAGATAAATTCTTGTTTTGAAATTACTGTAAAGCTAAAAATGTGGCGATATGTACTGTTGGTCAAAGGTTTGGTATATCTAGTCTCATGTAACACTATAATGCTTGGTCCCAGAGCACTTAATGAACCTAGAACTCCTTGCCTTTGTCCTATTTCTTGCAAGGCAGTTTGAAAATGATGACTATATGCTCTTGAAGCAACACCCAAAAATGTAAATAAATCTCTATTTAATTTTTCAGATTGTGTCCTATATACAACAACATCAGATACAGCAAGAACTTTAAGTAACAATCTCATTCGTTTATTCTCATGAGAGGTTATACCTAAGCACACATAATAAAATTTGTTATAGATGTCATATATTTTAATCATATATTTCATAAATGTAAATGTTATAGTACCTAATAAACCTTCTGTATCCAAACATATCACATTAAGATTTGGATCAAGTGCAGCCCAAACACCTAATGTACATGAATTTTGGTCATTTGATGTCTCAAAAATTTCCTTTCCTTTGAAGAATGTTTGATTTAAGGTATGACTTTTGCCATCACCAGTGTTCCCAAAAATTGATACCACTTTTACTTCGAGATCTTTATCACTGCAATTTAATTTTTCCATAAACTGTTCTGCATTAGAAACTCTGAGATATTCTTGACCATCTATCAACAAGAAACTTTTAGATTGATTGCACTGACATTTCATGTGTATTCCAGTTTCAGAATCTCCATTTATGAAATCATGGCTAGAACTGTGTATATCTCTATTGCAAATACATATGGTATCCAGACTTTTCATAATAGCTGGTTCAGTTGCTTCTAATTTATGGTCTTTCCAGAATGCACTCATGATGCAATTTAATGTAATTTCTAAAATGTTACAAATGTTTTTTATGGTTGTTATTAACAAATACGAATTTAAGGCGAATTAAAGCGAATTATTACTTAATAAAATTAAAAGTACAATAACAATAACAAATATAATGTATAAAACAGCAAACTATGTAATGGCTGTTCAACTTATCAATGATTCAATATATAATACATTTCTACACAATGATTTTTTAAGAAAAAAAAATATATATATATTTAATGCAATTCTATGGTGAGTTAACTGCGTAAATTGACAGAAATCAACATGGCGCCTTACCTTTCAAAGAATTAACGATCTGTATCTAAATAACGTAGCGGCATAACGGTCATATTTTGAAAATATTCAAAAATGCAACAAATAAGAAGTTCTGAACGATTCTGAAAATTAATTGGTTATTGATAACACCTCCATTATGAGCAACTAGATGCAATGCAGTGCAATACACCAATTGCAATAGGTAACTCTTTGAAGAACCACTCGAGTTACGATTGAAAGTGACTTCAAGGCTAATATTTTGCGTTCTCTTTTTTACTTACAAATGTATTTCAGTTTTTTCTTGTTCGATTGTATAAATTACAAAACGTCAATAAAAAAACTTCATGTCATCGGTTATTATCTTATAATAGTTTTTGCACGAATCAACAATTATTAGTACATTAGAAAATATCTATCTTTATTCAATTTTCGTTTTATATTTCTCTAACTAAATTCGTAAATCGTACTGATACGAATTATCAATTCTGTGGGAAGCAAATGATCTGTTTGAGTCTTCTCTTTTAGTAAGAGGAGGGGATGGTTAGTGGTGGGAAACGTCTTATAATTCTTAATTTGGTTACAACTTATAACTTGCAAACAATTAGTTTTATTCATTCGGTTAATATAAGGAAATTTATTTGCGGGGATTTGTAATTTATTTTCTTAAATAAGAATATTTGTAAACTTAGCGATAAGCAAAATATTCAATTTGATACAATTTTATTTTTTTTTAAATAAAAATATATGAGAAACTAATAATTTTTAATTATTGACAAATCTTCTGTGTACTTCGTACACGTCAGTGTGTATCCATACATACAAAATAATCAATTATGCATAGTAAAATATAAAAACAAATTATATATTATGAAAAAATAGAAATAGAAATATAGAATAAACGTATTTTACATTCTATACATTTTTTATTTAAGTTATTATTATTGAAATTTACATTTCGTACAAAAATATATTTAATACGGATGATATATATAATTTTTTGAAAATAGATATACATTAGCAATTTAACCACTTTCTAAATAATTAATTTAGAAAAAATAATAAAATAAAATAAAATAAAAATAATAAAATAAAATAATTTAGAAAAATTCGGTATTTGTTAGTTACTCCATTAATGTATTTTACATAAAAAATACCACATTTTCTTACATATATAATCTAAACTAATTTCGATAAACTCGCATTGACGTCGTATTACGTCAACGTGTAGTAATCGAAAATATTATTGATTTACGTTAAATTACAGCGTGTACTATTTATTACGGTGTCGCGTATACTTTTAAAATAATCATCGGCAGAACTGAACGAGATTTTGACATAATCGATTCCGACCACTCGATTATCGAATATGTACCGTTTAAAATATCGATATTAATTGATGAGGAAATCCTGATAATATACCGCTGGTAGACCGCTAAATCATTGAGGTTGATTTTTTTGTTTTGGCGAACGAAACATCGTTTTGCATGGCTAACGCGTGATTGCGATTCTGGCCTCGTTAGTAGAATGAATGTCAGTGAAAACTAAAACCTGCTGTGGGCACGTGTGCCATAATGTCATCGAAAGATTCAGCCGAGGAAAGTTTCAGGATACATTTTTCTATCTTATACGAAAGAGAGTGACCCACCCTAACAAAATTCAGTTTTATCACGTGAAATCACCGAACAATGGAAAACCATACCCAGGATAATACGATCAACATGAACGGAAGTGGTACGTTCGATGTGATAACACTTTCACAAAATATTTTTCTTCGATAAATATTCATACATTTATCCTTGGTTAATTTTAAAAAAATGTAAAATTGGGGAACGTCTCGATCCTTTCAAACAGTAATTTTTCTATTTATCGTTTGTATTGTTACTCTTACAATTACAATTTCGTGCTTTTATGAAACTTTTACCAACAAAGTGTTCATTGCAATTTAGAGGATCTGCAAGAAAAGATAAACAGACTGGAGTCAGAAAATGTCAAAATGCGAGAGGAATTCAATGTTCAAAGAGCTAAAATGAAGGAATTATTTCTTCAAAAAGAAGGTAGTTCTATTTGACAGTAATAAGTGGAACAATAGCAACAAAAATGAATTCTAGATTAAATAATATTTTATTTATAGAAGAGTTAAAGAGACGATTACAAGACAAAACATGTTTAGAAAAGGAAAATACTAAACTTAAAAATGAATTAGACGAAGCAAAAAGCCAATTGGTTGTTGCAGATATAAAAATTCAAAATGATATACTCATTGAAAAGAGAAAGGCACAAGAAGAAATAGCATCTTTACAAAGGGTTATACATGAAACTATGGAGGAATCTTCTTGTTCACGCAAACAATTAGATACAGAAATGGCTAAATTAAAAATGACTCTTTCCAAGTTACAAGAAGAGAATACATTGTTGAAATCACAGTTACCTCGAGATCCTCCTATAGATGGTCCACAGATATCACTTTCCACCGTAACAAAAACAATAGCTCGTAAAGTAGTTTCCCAATTAGGTGCAGATGCTTTATCTTTAGGCCCTGACAATCTTGAGGAAAGCATGAGGAAGGTAAAAAGATATGTACGTAAGCATAAAAATGTATGATTTTTGAACTTTTCTGCAATGAATTTATAAAATGGCACTGCATTTCAGAAAGTGTTCATAAGTCATTTGAAACATCATTATAAGGTGTTTACTTTGTTGCTTTTTTTCTTTTTTTTTTCTTTTTTATCAATTTGATATAGTGCAAATAGTAGAGAATATTATTTTCTAGGCACAGGAAGATGCAGAAGTTTTACGCTCACTAGTAGTACCACTCGAAGAAGAAATTAAAGCCTTAAAAGAAAAATTAAGGGCGACAGACGATGAGTTACAAAAATGTAAAGAAGTACAGTTGCAGAAAAAACAGCAAGAATCAGGTTCCTCTGAATTATCATGTGATATGTGTGCAAATTATGAAGCACAATTAGTTAAAATGCAAGCAACTGCAAAAGATTTAGAAAAACAACAGTTAGATTCTGAACGGATGTTATTAGTGCAAAAGGAAGATTTAGCTAAGGAAGTAGAATTTCGTAAGGAAATGGAAGAAAAATGGAATGAGAAAAAAGAAGAGCATAAAATCAAAGTAGCGGAACTTACTGTTACCTCGCAAACGTTGCAACAAACTTTAACTGAATTGAAAAGAACTTTTGAACAAGTTCAGAAAAATGTAAAAGATGAACTTGTGAAATTAACGCGTGGACGAGAAGAAGTACAAAGACATCTCATCGCGTAAGAAAATTTGTGATATTTTCAATCTTATTTTATTGTTTTTTTTGTTTTCTAATTTTCTACATAGATAAAGTAATATTTTTTATTGTGGCAT